TATTATCAAAACATAGAGATATAAGAAACACCAATATGTGTTCTAACAGGTTTTACACGAATCGGTCCATGACAGATTCAACCGAGCGAAGGTAATCGAAGAACGGGAGGTTCTGTCGGTTTAGTAGTGGTAACCGGAGGATTGTGAGAGGAAGATTCGGGTTCGACATGTGGGTGACTGAAATTAGTCGGGCAAGATTTGAAGACCGTGGGGTTGTTCAAAGGGCGTGCCGTAGTCGGAGGTTTACTCACCGTGTTCGAAGGACTTGATTCAACTTGAATCAAGGAGCAAGAAGAAATAGGCTCTACATCAACAAATTGTGTTCGATTGTTTGATATCGATTTTCTTCTTGTGTAAACATTTACCAACAGGTTATATCTATCTATATGCAGGTCTCAATTCTAGTTTTAGAATTGAGAGCAGATGTAACCCGAGCGAGGACGGCCTTAACAAATCGTTGTCTCTTTCTTTACGTTTATATTGCTTAAATTCTAAGTTTAAGTGCAAACAATTGTGTTAATCAAATTCTGATTTGAGTAGTGCTGAATTAATTTTTAAGCTTGTTACAATCCTTGATTGTAATAGAATACTTGAGCACTTTACTCTCATGGTAGAATTTACTTGTAGTTCCTTACACTCCAAGTGTTTGACCAATTGTGTGAACTAAAAACAATTGTGTTGTCTTTTCAAATTGTCTATATTTTAAAAGCATTGGAACTAGTCACACCTTATAGTGAACAAAATCTGATTGAAGTGTGATCAAAGTAGTGATTCTCAAATCTCATTTTATCGAATTCCATAGGCTTGACGCATATCCGATTTTTTCGGTAAAGGTTTGTTTTAGACAAATATAATTCCTCGGCCTCTTCCGCCTTAAAACTTTTTAAAAACCAATTTTTTGGTAGCGCCGACTCTATTTTAAACAAGCGGTCTATTCAATCCTCCCCCCCCCCTTCTAGATTTATGCCATCGTCTAACAAATACCTTCGTAATCGCATTCATCAACACGGTATCACGGTTGATAACAATCGCTTTAGGTATCTCAACTTGGTCCTTCAAAAGTGATCAACACGCCTCTAATGCCCATGTAAAAATATGCTCTTTTTCACACTCCAGAAAAGCAAAACCAACGACATGTGTCTTCTAGGTAGACGTAACACCAACCATCTCAAATAAAGGAAGTCTATAATTGTCGGTCTTGTAGGTAGAATCAAGAATGAGCACTGTTGAGAACGTGTTGAACAACTTTATTGAATCCAGATGAGTCCAAAAAATATCTCAGATCATAACTCCATTGTTGCAAGTTCTATACCGGGATACATAACAGTTATTATCCAACAATTCAACAATTGTTGCATCTCACTTCTATCTCCCCTAATCGTCTTACTGACGTGGTACCGAATGTTATACACTTGCCTTATTTTTGATTTATTGTCGACTTCCTTCCTTTCAATATGGCGAGTATATTTTTCGGTTGGACAAGATTCAAGGTCATGTAACTAATACATATCTTCTCTTCCGGCTTATACTGACATACACTAAGATGACCTTGTAACTTTAAGCATAATTCATGACCACAAATAACACTAAATTTCCACTTTTTGGTACTCAACATGTAACCACGGATCTTAAAAGAACATTCACATTTTCTACTACCGGTGTCGTCTCTTTTAAACTTCCGTAGAGGAGTCTGATATTTTTCGCTTCTTTCGCACTACAAAGTTACAAAAGCTTTTCTTCTTTCTGAATCATTATCTGATATTCCTATAACCACACCAAAACCAAGTCTAGTTGCAGTCCTACGAATCCATGTGAGTATGCTTTCATGATCATCAAACTCTTGCTCGTTATTAAAGTCAACACCGACATCTACCGACTTTACGACAACCCCTTAAACATTCAGAGAAATATCGTTTGTAGAAACTAATTCTTTTGAGATACTATTGGGGTGTACCATATATATTTGTAAACAATAAGAAAAATAAACAAAAATTGCAAAGTTGCTGCAAAAAAAAAAAGACAGACACGTTCTGGAGGTGTACATCCGGAAGTGTTCATCTTCAACACGTTCCGGAGGTACAACTCCGGAAGCAACGTTACTTTTTTTTCCAAAACTTTGATGATTAATGTGAGTAATGTAGTGGACAAAGTGCAATATTTACCTGAAATTCTATCTTCTCTTGCTCCCTTTGATTTGTTGCACGAAAAACTTGGACTTTTGGAGTGAAAATGATATTGATAAGGGTTTTTTAGGTTGGTGAAAGTGAGTGTGTAAGAAGAAAAGACAATAATGGGGGAGTGATCATGCAGGTTTAAAATATACCAGAAACTTCCGGAGCTGTATCTACGGAACATTTTAGCGTCTTAGACGTTCTGGAGCTGCATTTACGGAAGTTTTTCTGAACTGAATTATTTTGAAGTTTTTCCTAGCGTATACTAGTAGGAAATTATTTCGTAGATATAGCTCCAGAAACATCCAAATTTTGGCAAAAAAAAAATGTGCATCCGAATGTATATCTTTGAAAGCAAGAGGCATAAAAAGAAATTCACCAAGTGCCTAAGAGTATTAAGAGGTGGATTAAGAAATCCTCATTTATTCAAGGCTTGTGGTATGGTTAATATTTGTAGGACTAGATCTATCTAGTTATCAAATATCCCTTCCTCCAAATTTTTTCTTGTGTGGGGACTTATTCCGGACAAAATGCCCTCTAATAAGTCCCTTCCAGCTAAAGGTTGTAAGCTTGTTTCCATATGCAGTTAATGTAAATTAGCTTATGAAACGACTCACCATCTTTTCTTTTAATGTTCAATATCCATCAAGTTCATGTCTTGGATTAGTGGCATCATTGATAGAACCCATTATTCAATGATCCTGAGGAGTTATGGTCTTTTTGTGAAAAAGATAAATCCCTCGTATGTGATTAAATATGCTTTTATCCTTGTCATAAATGCAATTTAGTTTTTTTTTAGGAATAAGGCTAGTTTTGGTAACTTATGTCATTCTTATCTTTCTCTTGCACTTTAATTATGGATCAAATTTAGCTTCATGGTTGTAATTCCAAGTTAGTTTCCAAAAATAATATGAATGACTTCAAAATTTTAAGGGCCTTTGATGTAGCTTTTCATCCTTTTAAGCCCCTAAAGTTTTTGGAAGTTATTTGGAAGCGTCGTGGAACTCGTGTACTAAAGTAAATTGTGACTGGACTTTCTTATATCACAATTCTTTTGGTGGTTAGGAAACAGCAAGAGTGAATTTCTTTTTGCTTTATCTGAATCATTGAAGTGGAATAGTTATTTTTGGACAGAGTTCTCTAAAGTTTTTAGATCTATTGAGATTGCTATGGAACATAATTATACTAAAGTTTGGATAAAATCTAACTGCATACTCATGGTTAATGTTATTTTCGGTTGTAAGCAGTTCTTGGTAAATTAGAAGTAGATGGGAGACTTGTACATCTTTCACTAGTTCCATCTCTTTTATCCTAACACGCATATTTAAAAAGGGTAAGAGTTGTGCAGATTTTTCTTACTACTTTAGGCCTCACATATCTCTTCCGATCTTTAACTCTTAACTTGTAGAAATCAGAAGTGATTATATAAAGAATATGTTAAATTTGTCTTTCTTTCATTCTTAGTTTCTTGAGTGGGTTTTGGCCTAATCCCTTTCTTTTTTTTTTTTTAATTTCAATCTTTTCAAATATATTATTGAGGCTTTATTCAAAAAAAATTATCTATAAAGTTTAATAAAATTTAATTTACTTATATTAATAAGTAGTAATACTAATAAGGGGAAAGAACAAAAATAAAATTGTGCATCAGCTCGGCTCGACTCATTTAAAAGTCATTATATATTATCATATTAGAATTTAAATTTATCTCAAAAATCTACAAATTTAAAAATTACACAACTTTCAAAATGAACGAATAGCTCTCCCTCTCCTAAAGTTGACTCTGAAGCAACAATAGATATTAGAATGACAAGAATTTATGTTTGTCATTTGGGATACCACTCAATATTTTCCACCATCAGGTTAAAAGAAAATATAAGACTAAGATTTGAAATAAATCTTTAAATCCACTCAAAATTGAATTGACTCATAAACTTAATGAGTTGAATTATGTATAGTTAAAGTTCAGCTTATTTTGTTAATGAACATAATTTTTTTGTTCATATTCCGCTCATTTGGTTCATGAACATGATTTAACGATTATAGTTAAAGTTCAACTTATTTTGTTAACGAACATAATTTTTTTTTCATATTTAGCCCATTTGACTCGTGAACATAATTTAACGATTTAATCGTTGAACCGAATTTTAAACTATTTTCAAGTTGATTCGATTTATTAACGACTCTAAGACAAAACAAATGCATTGGTTGCCTTGGATTAGCCTAATATTCATATTTTATTTTTTCATTTGTTTATAGCCAATTTTTTTTTTAATGAAAACTAAATTAATCAATAATGAATTTTACAATTTTGGGCATTTGACCTATTAGAGTCTTTATGGGGCCCAATTCTACAACCCGGAAAAGCTGAAACTCTAGCCATATCGTGAGCAGTTTCATTTTTCAACCCATACTTCTTCTTCATGTTTTTACAAAACCCTCCTACCATGTTTCTACTACAAACTCATCAAAATAAAGATAAAATAATTTAACTATTTGTCGAATAAATTAATTTGATTAAAAATGAGTTAACATAAAGTAATTTTGGTTTGATTTATAATAAATTGAATTGTAAATTTTAGAATAAAAATTACACTTAAATTTAAAAGTTAAAAATTTTAACTAGTCCATTCTACTTTATAAAAGTCAAACACATAAAAAAATCAATTCTGCTCTTTTAAAATTATTTGTGATCAAACTAAACTACATTTATCAAATTTTTAGAGTATATATATTTACAAAATAAATATAAATAAAAAGCATAGTAAAATAATAAAAAGTAAAACTTTATAGGCTAAGATAAAAAATAATCCATGGGCTTGACAAAAAAACCTACAGGCCTAACCGTTTCAACCCAATGCGAGCCTCAGCTGAACCCGGTTCAACGTCAAGAACCTTCTCATACACATTCTTCGCTTCTTCTCTCATCCCTTTCCATTCGTAACATTTTCCCAACAAACACAAAGCTTCAGAGTTATCATTTTCCTCTCCACTCACTCTAACCGCTTCTTCAATATCCTCCATCGCCGATTCAACTCGCCGCTTCCGATTCACCGCGAGTTTCATTTCAGCCCTAAAAACCAGCAAATCGGCGCGCTCTTGCGGGGGAAGAAACTTCGCGGCCGGAAGAGAGAGAGCTGTGTCGAGGGACTTGATGGCGGAGGTGCGGTGGTTCATGATGCAAAGTGCTCTGGCTCGGAGAATGTGGACGGAGGGATCCCGTGGGGTGATAGCTAGGGCTTGATCTGCTTCTGAGAGAGCGTTTTTGGCGTGGAGGGTTTTGTTTGTTGTGGATCGGGCCCGGTTCAGATGGCGTGAGGCTTGATTCAGGTGACGGTTTGGTTCGGGTTGACGGATTTTGTTACGGGTTCGAGTTTTTGAATGGGTTTTTTGGTTGCGGAAATAAAGCATGAGGAAGCATAATGATAATGTTAGGATTAAGATCCCGAATTGAATTATGGCCTCTGTTGAAGCCATTATTTCTTACTGTGATACACAAGATAACATAAAAGTTATTCGAGGAACCAGGGATATGTATAAATATATAAAATATGACTTTGTTAAATAACACTGTAAAAATTATATTTAAAATAACTCTTAACCCTTAATTGAATAATCAATGATTAAAAACCGTGTGAGTTTTTTAAAAAGTAAAATGAAGACCTAGTTTATAGAAATTTTTGTTATAGTCTAATCGTGTGACTCTATTTAAAAGGTAGAATGAAGACCTAGCATAGAAGTATTTGTTATAGTCTACTTGTGTGAATTTTTTATATCCGTAAAATAAAGACTAACTTTGGAAGTATTTGTTAGTCTAATTGTGTGATTAAGTGAGATGAAGACTTTGCTATAAAGAATTTAGCTTCACTTTCGTGGAGTTAAACATATTCAAAGGGTGATAGCAAACTTATTTGTAACATGCTCTATTGTCTAAATATAAGTGTGACTTGTTTTTCTAAATAAATAAAAAAAGTTTTTTGTCTGATATTATTGTTGGTGTAAAGGTAGAATAAATGAAGAATAGAGAAATATTCTATTAAGAGAATAAAACACAACAAAATTAAAATAAAACACAACAAAGAAAATAAAACACAACAAAGAAAGCACAAACACATCATCGATAGGTACTAATCTTACACATTAAGGATATCGTAGGAACACTAATCCACAATTGTGCAGACATAAACCTCCTGAATATACAAATCAACTTGAATCATGTTATTATGGTGAAGCCTAACTTACTCTTCCTCCTTTTTGCTCTTTTTCATTCAGGCGCAATCACATTAAGCCCGTTATCTCCACACACTCATAGCAAGGCGACCGGTTAGTGACTCTGATCCTTTTTGTTTAGGGTTTTGGTATTTACGTGGCATAACCCTTTGCTGACTCAATTGTAGTTGCAGGGGATCAGACCGTAATCCGCCCTACCAAGTTCAGCACCAGAAACCGCTGAACCAACTAACGAGTAATAAATTTTTTTTCCAACTTTTTATTTTCTTTTCTTTTTCTTTTTTTTTTCTTTTTAATTTGATCACTCACTTATATTCATCGGCTTCCCTGCGTAGAGTGTGTATGAGATGGTGCTGACTGCTGAAATAAACTACTCATGAGCTGTTAGAGAATGAGAATATAAGGCTAAAACATAAAGAGTATTCAAATCAATTTCCACACGCAGGAGACTTACGGTGTTAAGACGATACCGACGAGTCAAGGTGGATAAGTGATCACATATGCATCCTGTAACGCCCCGATTTCGATTATCCCCTTTTATTGGGTCCCTATTTAATTTAATTGGGAGAATATTATTTGAATGTAGAAATTGTGTGGAAATATGTTATATTTACATATTATCCTATTTTAACCGGTTTTGAGAGGTTTCGGAGGAAATAGTTTGGAGGGTATTTTGGACATTTCCTATTTAATAATAAGTGAGATATTTATGAGATATTGAATTAGTGGATGTTTTGGAAAAATAAGGGAAAAGATATTAGAGAGGAAATAGAAGGGAAAGAAAAGGATAGTAGGAAGAAAGAAAGAAAAGAGAAAGAAAGGAGAAAAGGAGAAAGAGAAGAGAAAGAGGAGAAAACCTAGATTCACCAAGATCAACCAAAGCTTGCGATTAATCAGGTAAGGGTGTGAAACTCCATCATCTCTTTAATGTGTATGATTGTATGTGTATGTGTTTGGATTTTGTAGAGTTTCTACTCTTTTTCCCACTTAGGTTAGAAGTTGGTTTTGTGAGTAGAATGAGGTTTTAATCGGTTAGAACTCGGATTAGACGATGTAGTTTAGTCGGGTGATGGTAGGGTTGTGCCACTGAGACTGGTTTGGATTTAATCGGTTGGTTGTGTGGAGTTTGGGCTTTGGAACAGCCATGGAGGTTCTGTCTTCGCAGGCTCGCCAGGCGAATGGCAGCGAAGCTTCGCCAGGCGAAGTCCAGCGAGCTGTAGCGAAGCAAGTCAGAAGCAAACACCCTGTATTCGCTGGCAAGTTCGCCAGACGAGGTTAGTTGGCGAAGGTTCGCCAGGCGAGTGTCTAGCGAGCCTCGGCGAGTAATTCCAGAATTACTCCCAGTGGACTTCGCTGGGGAGTTCTCCAGGCGAAGGTCAGCGAACATTCGCTACGTGGCTTCGCCAGGCGAAGGTTGGCGAATGCAGCAACATATTTTATCTTCCTGTGCTTTCCAATTGAGGATTGGTTGTGTGGTTTGGTTGCGATCATTCCTTGTCAGAGATGACTGATTATGTGTTGTCATATGTGTTGTGGATAGCCGTATGGCGTGAATCCTAGTTTATGATTTGTGAGGTGCGAGGTGTAGCCGTTTGGCAATTTTGTGCATTTGCTTAAATTGATTAGAAATGCATGAAGGAATTGTTTGTGAATGTGAACCATGTGTGATTGGTTTGAATGGATGATGAATATATATATGTTTTCTTTTTGATACATATATGTTGAGTGCATAATATATATATGCGATGAATGTGAAGAATGCATGAGTATGTTTGTAAGCATGTATGCATTTCAAGAAGTGTAGGAAGTACATTCTTGTGCTGTTGACTCTTAGGAGAGTCTGATGAGTGATATGACTCTTAGGAGAGTCTGAAGAGTGAATTGATTCCTAGGAGGATCTGATGAGAGATGTGATTCCTCGGAGAATCTGCTGAGTGACCTGATTCCTAGGAGAATCTGATGAGAGATGTGATTCCTCGGAGAATCTGCTGAATGACCTGATTCCTAGGAGAATCTGATGAATGGTGTGATTCCTCGGAGAATCGGACGAACGATGTGATTCCTAGGAGAATCTGACGAACGATGTGATTCCTAGGAGAATCTGACGAGCGGTGTGATTCCTCGGAGAACTGATGAATGGTGTGATTCCTAGGAGAGTCTGATGAGTGTTGTGATTTCTAGGAGAATCTGATGAGTTATAGGGTACCCGTGAGGGGTGAGAGTAAATTGATTCTTAGGAGAATCTGATGGACGATTAGGTCGATATTGTGTTGCATTTGCATAGAGTAGCGAGTTGGCCTCTATGATTTGCATTTACCTTCTGTGCATGATGTATGGTGAAATAAACATGTTATGTACGTTTGTTGAATTAATGTGAAATGTATGATTTGGCACAATGTAGATGTTAGACAATATATACATATATGTGTGTGTATGTTTATGAAATGATATACACATTGATGATACATATTGAGCACGCTTGGGTCCTATTTGTATATAGATACATTGCAATAAACGAGGTGAGTTGTGGTGAGAATGCGTAAGATGCATAATTGTTGATACGATATATATATATATATATATATATATATATATATATATATATATATATATATATATATATATATATATATATATATATATATATATATATATATATATATATATATATATATATATATATATATATATATATATATATATATATATATATATATATATATATATATATATATATATATATATATATATATTCATGCCTTTATGCATTATTTATTATGATATTGTTTCTCACCCTTCTGCTGTTTTATAATGCTCTATGAGGCATTGCAGATTAGATGGCTGGAGACATTTTTGTGAAGCGTGACTTCATTCTTTTTTTGGTCGGTCGGCTCTGATATGTAGCACCGGGTAGATAGGAGTTGTTTTGATTCTTTTGTGATACATCTGTGTATGTATCTGCTGACGTTATGTTTTGTTAACATGTTGGATGACAATTGTATATGTGAGTACATGTCTTGGAAATATGGAATATTTAGATGTTTCCGCCTTGTTCTAAATATTTTCTTGTGGGTGTTGACCCGTTGTTGCATATCTGATTGAGCAGGTGTTGTATGCGTTGAATTCTTTTGTGATAATGTGACATACCCCTTTTATGCCATGACTTATATGTACTCTGATAAAAATTTGAATTATGCTTAATTGAATAAATGTATTAATTTGGGGGTATAGAAAGGGGGTGTTATACATCCTTTCCCAAAGAGAGATTTTCTGCAGTCTCCTCTTCCAAAGTGGGGAATAACTTTGGATAGCATCCATCGCCCTTGAAATTTGTATTAGTGTCTTCGCCTTTTATTCCAGGATCAAATAAGAATCTTCGATAAATAAAAGTGTCAAATGGGCACGTAAATGTGATATCCTTTTCAACAACATCAGATAACAAAGGATTAAAGAGTTGTCTCACTGCTTTTCTTCTCTCTTTAATCGAGCTCCATCCAAGTCTCTTCTTATGTTTCTTCAAAATCTGTAAAGGTTTATTATCTTCATCAAAATCAAGGTTAGAAGAAATTATAACTGAAAGCTTTTTATCCGTATCTAAATAAGCATAATTCAGATTGTTATGAAGTGGTTTAAGCTCCAAGGGGGGAGGTTGTTCAATGGATGATGAGGTTGGGGCAGCCATGATGTTAAGAGTTTTAGCTTCATAAACAACTTCATCTGCATGAAAAACATCACCATGTACGACAGCATTAATCTCAGCACAAACAGAACAAATGTTAGTGTCGGTACATAAATCACAAGAGTAAGTATCATCAAAATCTGCTAATGATGGAAAATCAAAATACAATTCAGAATAAGTATCATCAACTAAATTAGAAGGAAACTCTTTTGGATTCACTACTGTTTGGGCAGATGGTTGGTTTGAATCTTGAGCTTGCTGCATGGCATTCACTATAGTGGCAAGTTGTTCAATCTGTGTCTGTAAAGCTTGAAGACTTGAATTTGTTTGTTGCTGAAACTGAAGATCATTTATAGCCATTTGCTTGACAAGATCCTCTAGTGAAGGTTCAGAAGGTGTAGAGCACACAATTTGGAATTCATTCATATGCTTATTCAGATCCTCACCTGCAAGTCCATTAAACCTTGACAACAAGTGTATTAAACCAAATTCCGATTCGAAAGGAACAACAACATCATCATATTCAATACACAAGCTATTATAATTTACATCAGGGGAAACTAATTGT